GCTGCAGGATACTGCAGTGATGGTACAACATAGACATAGCAGAGCTGCAGCCAGCTGAAGAACTGCAACAGATTAATTTCGGTACTTTTGTATGTGTGCATGTACATTTTAATTTATAGCACCTTTACTGCTCTGCTCTCCTTGACACAGATTATTACACACAGATGTAATTTGCCATGTGAAATTGCTGCAATTAGCGCAATATAGTGTATATGTTTTTTTTTTCCTTTTTGTTAAGTGAATGGATGCTGTTGTAAACTATGCATTCCAGACTTGACACCCCTTTCGCACCTAATAAAGATATAAATTATATACTGAGCAGTAAATAAAGAAACATTGCAAATAATGAAGTATGATATTTAAACAATGAGGGCAGTACACATTAAAGTAAAATGAATAAAACCATAGTAAAATCTAAACCTGCAGTGTGGAGCCTTTGTCTCCCCTTCTGGCAGTGAGAGTGATTTAGGGCTAATTTGAGAGTAATTGACTATTTGGATTATGAATCACAAAATTACACAATGCCTCTAATTTAGCTATCAGCTTTTAAATTAAACTTGAGTTTGTAACAATCAAGACAACAAAATGAATACTGCTTACAAAAATACATCTTTTAATGAATGTTTCTGCTGCAGCAACAGAAAGTTCCACTGAAATCAAGTCCTGTCACGAACCAAACAGGTACATACATTAACTAACCAGCACTCATCTGAGCAGCTGAAGTGCTGTTAACAAGACATGTCATTTATCTAGTGACTAGAATAGCTTACACACCAGTACTGCAACACACCAGGACAAACTGACACTATATTTATACATGGTGGAAAACTTAACTTGCAGGGGACTAATAATAACGAAAAGTATGAAATTGTTTGGTCTTGTGCACTCAGCAGCAACACATTCCCCAGCTGTAAACGTTGCCGTGAGCGATTCAGAGATATTTACGTGGTGCTGATAGGCTTAACCAGCATTGTGTGAACTCATTTGGTAAGTGCTTGAATGTACCATTTATGTACAAGTCCCGCGCGCAGTAAATGCCATGGTAATTAGATCAAACGTTGCAGGACTGTGTCCGTTGTTTATGGTAACTCATAACATGATTGAGGGAGAATAAGCTGCTGAAGTATTTTGTTTTGATTGTCAATTGATTATCTTACAGCCACTCATTGAATCAGCGGCTCTGCCGGTTAAATGCACTATACAAGAGAGGAAGCTCTTGTTTAATACTGTCTCACATGTCCAGATGTGACTGAACTGATTTGATGCACTGATCTTGAATTTGCCAACTGGTGAAAAAGTAATGGCATTATGTTTGTATCCCCACCCCATCTGTAATATGGATTTTAGTGAATCTATTCAGGCCCTATTTAGTCACAGCATGTTGCCATTTTTTTGCCTTCAGGGTCCTAGAATGCTTAATTTTTCAGAAGACACAAAACAACAAGGTGCAGAGATTTTTATAGTCTGTCATGCAACAGTCTTTAAAAAATACTCATTCAGGGCTTTGACTGTCTATACTGAGAAAGAGGTATGTACTTTTGTACCTAAACATACCACTGATAAAGTTTATAATTTAAAGGAGCTATATGTAGTTTTTCAATGTAATCACTTAAATTAAAATACATTTTTTTCTGCCTTTTTTGTCAATGGGCTGTAGCCTCACTTGAAGCACGCGCATGTTTTCTCTGTTGTTTAGGACAGCCACTATTCTGCTTTTAATTGTGAGATTTTTGTTTATACTAGCCTATAAGGCCCCATCCACACTACTCCATTTTAGTTTACAAACAGAGAATTGAAACAAAAACGATCTCAATCCACAGCAGTGTTTTAGCAGCGTATCAGAGTTGATCTCCGTCTACATTAAGACGACTGGACTGGAAACGCACATCTATTGGCCGTTCAGGTACACTGGACATGTGGTGTAAACATGAAGTAGATGGTGAAAGAATAAAGTAATGCAGATGAAGAATCAGACCAGATTCTTTTTTTACATGGACCAATAACAAACTGGGACTGTTACTGAACATCAGAAAACAGACTGGGAGTATGTGCAAAGTAAATGGCAACATGCACAGTGGCCTATAAGTGTAGGCAGATAGGCCTAAGTGTTATTTGCACGGTACAGAATATTTTAATAAAAATACCAACTCAAAAACTCTGTCAGTAGCATCGTGTTTCTGCTTTGCATGACTTATAAGACCCAATCAGAGAGCCGAGCGTAAGTGTCTGCGTCATCATTTCTAAAGTCCTCCGTTTTTGCCCGTCTTCACTAAAACGCCCTCCAGAGTTTCGAAATGCAAAGCCAGGTTGGCAGCATTTCCAAACTTCTCCGTTTTAGGTCTTCGTTTTCACCGTTTTAGTCTGGACGGGAGGTGCAAACGTAGCAAAAGGTCTCTGTTTTAATTCGAAAATGCAGTTGTGTGGATGGGGCCCAAGGATGCAGGCAGGGCAGTCAGCTAATGTGATGTTAGATTTATTGTCGTTTTACTGTATTCACGTCCACAACTTCTCCACCTGTCAGTCGCTGTAACTAAGTGACCCACATAATATACAATACTGCGACATAACGTACTGGACAACAACACAGAGGAAAACCTATTCACTACAGTAACGTTACTTACTGTTTAATTGTTCAGTCTAACTTACTAACATTAATACTATGAGTATTGTGCTGATATGCGGCTCACTGCGCTATATGAAAGGTACGGAGCTGGTGTTGATCTGCCTCTGAGCCGGGAACGTTGAAGTAACAGAGCCTGAACATGCCTGGAGAAAGGCCGCAGCCTATGGTTCGAGCAGACGTACGAGCACACACCTGTTTGTCATCTTAAAACCACACCACTAGCGGCCGCTGAAAACTACATATTGCCCCTTTAATCGAATTTTTGACCCCCTGAGACATCATCCCAATATGTAGCAAGATGTAAAGTAAATAATCAGTAACTTTCAGTTCTAAAGGCATTTTTTAGCAATAAAGCAAAAGCAGAAACTCTGCGGAGAAATGGGCTTGGTGGGCAGCATTAGTAGCTGAGTGCTCGTTTAAGTCTGATAAACGGACACTCAAATTCATGGTTGCATAATCAGCTAGTGAATAATGTCTATATTTATTAAGTGCCAGGGTAACAGTAAATTAGATGAAAATAGGCGAGACGGGCTCACAGAGTTGGAAGATCTTAATCCATCAGACAGCATATGGTTCATGTATAACCAATCACCCATGTTCAGCTGTATAATTATTCCTGTGTGGCTCCCTGTCTGAGTTCAGATTGGTTGCAGAACAATAATGGGAATTCATGTGACACAATGTATTTGTGGTGTTCGTTTCACTGAGCGCTTTATCGACATTGCTGCATGACTGAATTCTACCTTCACCAGTCGTATCAGATCATACTGTCAGTCTGGTCTCTCTGGCAAAAGGAACTGATACTGATTTTAATATGTGCCCAAAAGCCTCATTTGAATTTCTAAAAAGCTTTAATGAGGGTCAATGCCAAAGTACCACAGTCATTGAGAGCAAAATCAAAGCACAGGTGGTCTATACAAACAGCTCGAAATGTGTTACTGTCAACATCAGATTTGTACTGGGAAAAGTAATCAGTCAGTAAAAGCAATGAAGCCATGGCCCTAAATTTAAACTAAGAACCTGCAATGAGACTTTATTCATTTGGGATGTCATCGTAATAAGCCATGAGCTCCCCTAAAAACATGAGTTGTGAAATTATTTGTTAAATGTTTCTGTTTTTGCCATGTATTTCTATTTTTCTGTATCTTCATCATCATGGTTCGTGCGTAAAATTAGGATACTATTGATTTAAGACTGACGCATGGGAGATTCATCACTAATTCATGTTAGTAAAGATACTGGCGTGCATGCTCTGACAGCAAGGCAGCAGCAATAGGTTCCCTGAAAATGAGCTCCACCAAAAGCCATGGCATGGTTCACACACTGCTCATGACAGCGGCAGGTATTTAGTTGTCTGGAAACTGTCTGCCTCTGAAGCTAAATGACGACCTGTTGAACAGTTGAAAGCTACAAAAGCCCAAAGTGGAACTTTGAGTTTATTTTGTTACATAAAGATCAATGAATGCTCTGGGAACTTGTACTTGCCATTTTTCACAATAGACCAAGCGGTTTATCAAGAAAATTATCGACTGATGATTATGAAAATAACAAAATAATGAAATGTCATATTTAAAATCAGGACCCCTTTCCTGGTCCTGTACGCTGTATTTATCTTGAAATGATTTGGTGTACTCAATTTCACATTCAGGAAGAGTTCATGTGTGCAGGAAATGTTTATGAAAGATGGGCAATCCAGGAATCAATTTAGATAATGGATTAAGATAGATAAATTTCTCATCTCAGTCTGAAATTATGTCTTGTAGCCACAGTAGAATGTGACCTAGATAAGACCTGGAGGGCTGAAACACACTCCTGTTCTTACTGCTGGTTTTCACAATCTGCCCAGATTAAATACCTTTTCAAGCTACATTATTTATTTATTTTATTAAAATGCAAGTTGTTGTGATTGTCAGTGAGTCATGTGTATAGTAAATGTTGCTCAATAAATCCTATTCCTTAGCCAATTACATACAGTTTTAATACACTTCTTCTAAAATGACATGTTAGCCAATCTCACACTTTTAGGTTCATCTAATAATCGGATGGCATGATATAGCCACTGAAGCTGAACCTACCTGTCTCAAACATTGTTCTCAACAAAATAAGAAAGCCCATCTTTTTTCAACAGAGAGTGGCTCGTCACTGAGCACCCCCCTCATGGATCCTACTGCTACACGTCACTACATATTTAGAAGTGTATTTGAATTAGAGCTCTGCACAGAAATTACATGGCATTGCTGTGAAAAAGGAATTTGAATGTGTACAATTGCAGTTATATGTGTGAATTGCTTCCAACCTCACAGGCCTGGTCATTGTTTTAACTGGCAACGTTTCCTTTAGCAAATGATTCACAATACAGACACTGAAAATCCTGGTGAATACATTTAATTCAAGATGACCACAAGTTACAATTTACAGAGCACTAAACATGTATTTTTCAAGGAATACAGGACACAGACAGTCAGACACTGAATACATCTGAATAAATTAAAAGCAGTAGTTAAAATTGTCAGAGAGCCTCCACTCTGCACCCTCCTCAGATGATGCTCTCAGTGCTGGACTGGTTTGGATCTCTCTCTGCATCATTGTATGCTGTTAAAAAGCTGCTTCTTGGTGACATCGACTCTGCTTTGCTGTGGTTCTCACTGCACATCATGAACCTCTCCTGGCTGGCAGGGCTTGCCTCTCTCTTCAGTGTCAAAGAGTTGGCAGCACAAGTGAACGATCCGGTTATAACCGTGTTATTATCCAGGTCAGACGCCGTGGTGGCATTGCAGTAATACCTTCGGAGCCCCTTTCGGAAGTGTATGGTAAACAGGCCATAGATGACCGGGTCCAGGCAGGCATTGACAAGGCCAAAGATGAACAGGATGTGTGTCAGTGAGTGGGAGACCTTCCCCTCCAGGTCATCAGGGAAGAACCAGTACCACAGTCCCAGCAGGTAATATGGAGTCCAGCAGATAATAAAAGCCGAAACAATCACAATACTCATTTTTAGAGTTCTCATCCGGGCTCTGGGGATGTTGTTCTTCGAACGCCGCAAATGCATTTCATTGGAGGGCACTGGGAGAAGAGCAGATGACAGAACAGACAACTGGCTTTTTAATGTGACGGATGTTTAGCAGGCATATTATTTCACCATTAGTGTGTTAGCATGCTAAGAAAAATTTGCTAATTAGCACTAAACACAAAGTCAATATTGCAAGTACATAGTCAGAAATCAAGTAAAGAATGAATTAAGGGATCACCCATGTCACTAAACATCCTCTGACTACGATGGATATCTGTACCAAATTTCATGGCAATTCATCCAATAGTTGTTGAGTAGGGGTGTGCGTAATGTACAGCGTAAGTTACAGTGGCCAGGGAATAAAGACTACAGCTTCTCAATACTAAAGCGGAGCTCCAATGTGTTGCTTGCCAACTGTTAAAGAAAGCGTAAAGAGGGTTAGCCCCGAAGTTAGCATTTTCGGCCCTGGATAAAAACAAATTCTCCCCTGTGCTTCCCGACTACAGCCTGGGAGCCGAACAGGATTGGTTAACAACGGGATATTTAAATGTGTTATGTATTTAAAACTGAAGAATTTAAAGAGGTGGTATTATGCTCATTTTCAGGTTCAAAATTCTATTTAGGGGTTGTACCAGAACAGGTTTACATGGTTTGATTTTCAAAAAACGCCATATTTTTTGTCATACTGCACATTGCTGCAGCTCCTCTTTTCACCCTGTGTTGAAGGCTTCGTTTTAGCTACGGAGTGATACATCTTGTCTCTAAATGATCTTTGTTGGGAGTTGCACATGCGAAGTTCCTAGTTAAGGACTACTACTACCAATCAGAAGGTTGGAGGGTAGCTAGTGTTTGGAAGGGAGAGGAGTATGTGCTGCAGCACAGTGTTTTTCGGGCTTTGGGCTTTTTCACTTTGCTAACCTATTACATGCACAAAAAAGGTATATAACTCATTAAGGAGAGGGAAAAAGCCAAAAAGTATAATACCACTTCTTTAAGTGAAAACATTATAAAAACACTGAAATCACCAGCGCAAGTATTAATGATATCAAACTGTGCAAGTATGAGTAAACAATTTCATCTGTCACTGTATTAGCTGTGAGTTCTGTCGTATCTGTTGTCTTAGTGGCTTTGATTCTGTCATCATTGTAGCAGTGTTTGAACCAGTGTTTTTGTGCTGGTACCTCGGCTAGTTTAAGTTATTATCGTAGATACATAGCGCACACCCCTATGAGACATGTCACTAAAATGCCCCAAAATGTAAACCTCCTGGTGGTGCTAGAGAAAAAACAAACATAGTAAGTGCTAATTATCCTCTGGGGAATGTGAATTTCATGGCAATCCATCAGATAGTTTTTGAGATATTTCAGTATGGACCAAAGTGGCGGACCAACTGCTCGAGCAACAGCAGCGAATAATCCACAGAATACACTGTTAACAGTTCAGACAACTATCTCTTAGGTAGATTTATTACAACTGTGCACAACGGGGTCTGTGGACTATTCAGAGTAACCAGGACTGCAAAGAAATATTTTTCAATGCTGCTCATATCAGTACAATGGATGTGATTCCAGTCAGCTCTACAGCATTAAACCACCTAACAAACACAGCCCAGCTTTTATCAATGTGCATCTACTAATAAAAGGGTCAAACAAACTGTGCAGCAGCAGTTATGTAAATGCTAATTACTGAACATGCAGAGCTCAGACTCCATTTGAACTTACAGTTGTCCTTTTTCAGTCGTTTGGAGATCTCACAGAAGATCCTGGTGTAGCAGGTGATCATGATGACCAGTGGAAGCAGGAACAGGCAGGAGAAAGTGAACATGTTGTAGGCAGTTTCATGCCAGTGAGTGACAAAACTTCCAAGTGTGGTACACTGAGTGAAGTCCTTGGGATGAATGATGGTTACGTTGTGAAAAAGGAATATCTAGGGAGGGAAAGGAACAATAAATAGAAAGCATTTCAATCGTGTGTTTGTTGGCCATATAATCATTCAGTGATAAATTTCCCTTTGATTTGGTCTCTTTGTGGAATTTGATTACCATAATAAATTAAATAAAAATCAAGCCAGCTATATTCTTCAATGTTTGGATGGGCATGTATGCAAACACATTGAATAGAAACTTTCCTCGCTAATGGGATCACCATTTATTTCAGACTAATGGTGGGAGGACTACTGGCAGCCAAACCTTTCATACTTTTTCATTTCACACAGTTTTTGTGGAAAGGATTATTTCTGGAACAGAGATTGTAAATCACAGGATATAAAACATTTGTGTAAAAAACTTAATCCAAACTAAGAATTATGTCACAGTATAGAAAGTAGCCATGTTCATATTAGACAGGATATGTGTAATGAAAGCCTGACCTCTGGCCCGCGTCGTCAGCTGGGTTACCAGATCTTACCTGAGGGACTGACAGCACGACACTCATGCACCACGCTACAGTCAGCATGACTCTGTTCCTCTTTCTGGCCTTAGTGATAGCCAGAGGGTTGAGGATGGCTGACTGCCTATCCAGACTGATCACCACGGTGACAAAGGCGCAGGAGTACATCGCCTGCAGCTTAAGAAACATCAATAGCCTGCAAGCAAAGTCCCCAGCGAGCCACTGCACTGTGATGTTCCACACGGCATCCACAGGCATCACAATGAAGGTCACTAGCAGATCAGCCACCGTCAAGTTGATTATCAGCACTGTGACGTGGGACTTACGCTTCCCATCGCTGTGTGCTGCCCACAGCACAGCCAGGTTGCAAAAGGCTGATATGCCACAGAGAATACAGGTGATTATCACTCTGACTTTGGCTGCTGTGGTGAACGTGGGCAGCTGCAGGGTACCGCTTCCCGCTGTCCAGTTACAAGGAGGCGTGGAGCAGTTGCAGCTGGTGTTCAGTTGGTCGGTCATTAACTGATACATGGTCGCTGCAGAGTTGCACGGAGTGGTGTTCATTTTCTGACACTCGCAGAGGAAGAAACATTCTGCACATCCATCAGCGCTGGTAATAAGAGTGAAGCAGAAAGAGAGAATCAACAAGGTACAAGACGGATGAGTCAGAGGCCATGAAGTGGGCAAAGATCATCCAAACACATTTGTGTAGTGGGAGAAATACAAACATCCCATCAATGAATAAGACAGCGGCTCATCAAGAGGAAGTATTATGCACATATGGGAACCTCATTTGCACTGCAATTCAGTGAATTGGAAAGATGGAGCGTGAGGATTATGTATACAGTACATTAAAGTACACATTGGTGGTGGGTGCAATGACTTTCCCCCCTTCGTGCGGAAGCGCGTTGGGTATCTGTGTTTTCAAGTGCATGTAATAGTTCTAATATTAACAGTTTAAAATCAATCGTATTTTTCCTTATTAATTCATAAAATTTATAAATAAATTTCATTATTATAATAACAATATTCATTTCAAAATCAACAACTGTTTAAAAAATAAAAACATGAGGTCAGCATGTCACTAATCTTTGTGGTGAGGGGCCACACAAAAACTGTTTCACAATAAATTGCAATAAACAAAAAGTCATCTTTTAAATTTGTGATTTGAAATGCAAACAGGACACGATTTCAGCCGACTGGGCCTTGTTCAGTGCTTGAAAGCCTCTGTGCTATATGTGGTGCCTACACCTGCACAGCAAAGCAGAGCTTTGTCACTGACATTAGAGGGATTCTGTTAATACAAACACCACATCATGGATGATCTGGCTGGAAGTGTTTCTGAGGGATAGCTAGTAAAATAAACTTTAGGCCTTTTTGAGATCATTCTAGGAGAGAGAAAAAAATTGTGTCATGACTGCCCCAACCCATTTGCCTTGAATGTTTTATTTCCTCCTCTTGTTTAATGTCATAAAAGAGGAGCTATTATGACATGATGGTAGAATAGTCATTTTCACTCTCTCTTTCTCTCTCTTTCTCTCTCTTTCTCTCTCTTTCTCTCTCGCAGTTTTCAATTCAGTTCAATTCAATATGCTTTATTGGCATGAATTTTTAGGTTAAACAATGTTGCCAACGCAGTTTGCAGCAAAATCACAAAGTTTACATTTTGAATATAACATAACAAGAATTAATGCAATCATGATGATTCAGTTATTATTATAATAATTAGGTAGAAAACTCTCCCTCCCTCTCTGTCTCTCTCTCTCTCTCTCTCGTTTGACATTTCTCCAATTTTGATATAAGCAAAGACTGAAATTATTTGACGAGGCTCAACATTTTCTGTTAATAATCAACCCCAAAAGATTATTTTAAAAATGATAACCGCACTCTCACATGACATTCAAATGTCTCCCAGTGATACTATAAGTGCAGCAAATATGACTTGGCCTATTACATTTTCTTGTTCTGCAGTGAGATCATACCGAATAAGCCTACAATTTAAAACTGATAACCTGCTCTACAGATGGCATTTTGAAGGATGTACCGATTTTATCAACACATGTAGAAAAACAAAGCCATTTCCATTAAATTGTGTGTACACTGCGCATAGTTTCTTTTATTCCCACTTACGACACTAAATGTGCGTGCATCCCCAAACCACATTAAAAACCAAACCATATGACCAATATCTATCATGTTCCCTGAAACTACAGGAAGCTTGGTGCGTAAAAACTTACGTGCAGTGGAGATGGATGTGGGTTTAGCTTTTTGCGTAGTTCTGGGACGCCAAGTATTTAAAAATCACAGCAAGACGGAGGCTTCGTCTGTGTTCTGGTCCGTTTGTTTTCCATAGGTAGGCTGCTGTAAGTTCTGCAACAGAGCAGGTTCACCGACACCTACAACAGCTGTCCAGCTCTTTTGCTATCCAGTGCGTCCTGTGCTCTTCCAGCCGCGCCACCTTTTCCACATACCAATCAGAGTCGTGCAACATAAACCCCCGGGGTGTGGTCTGACCTCAAGTCCATATTCGCTGACATATTTGTTAGAAAAGAAAATAACTGCATGTGATGGCGAATAAACCATGATTGATGATCACCAAGGAAAAAAAACACAAATCATCTTATTCATTTATTTTTTAAATGTAATTATGAAATCACAGTTTAGAATGTGTCTGTCATGTGTGAAATCATCCAGTAAAAGCTACAGTATTACATAAGGTATGATTCATGAGATAGGACCCAGGCAGCTACAGAGCTGCTTGAAAAAACAATATTCTTTTTGACCATGAGAAACATGTCTGCAAACAACAAGAGGATCTAAGTCTGTCAGCTGAATCTGGAGGTTGTAGAGAATGTGGTATATTTTTAAGTTACAAAGACCGTAAATCTAAGCTAATCATCATCACAAATGGAGATGGAGTTTTGAGCAGTACTTATCTGACATCAGGTTAATGGGGCCAGACAAGAAGGAGGGAAATGTTTGGGACATTTTGGGAAATGGGCTTATTCGCTCTTTAGCCAAGAATCAGATGAACACTAATACCACTCTGTATGGTAAATGTAGCCAGAGGTGATTAGCTTAGCATAAAGACTAGAAACAGGGGGGAAATGGCTAGCCTGTCCATGTCCATAGGTTACAAAATCCACCCACCAGCAACTTCTGAAGTTCACTAATTAACACATTGTATCTTGTTTGTTTAATTCGTGTTAAAACAGAAGTACGAACATGACAATGTGTCAGACCATTTCAAGGACAGCAGCAGTTGCCCTGCAACAATTTTCACTTCTTGGTTTTTGTACAGAATTACCAAATGAGGTGTAACATATAAATTTGTGAGCTTTAGAGGTGCTGACAGCTGGATTTTGTTGCATTTAGACAGAGCCAGGCTAGCTGTTCTCCCCCTTTTCCCAGCTTCTGGCTGTAGCTTCATATTTACCATACAGACAATCTTTTTATCTCACTGTAGGCAAGAAAGAGTATTTCCCTAAATGTCAAACGATTGCTTTATGTCAAACTTTAGAGCTGACTCACATCTATATGGATCTTTACAAATGCATTTCTCTGGCAGAGGTTTGCCCTCTGGGAGCCATCTACTTTGTCTAATAAAATGGTTGCAGAGATTTAATAAATAAGTTGGAGAAAACATATCTACTGCTCTGTTTCCACAGTTGAACACAGGTCAACGCATGGAGGAGAGGTGACAGGGATTAACTGAAGCGGTCTCTTAACTTCTCACAGCACATTCATCCTCCTTATCCGTTTCAAAGCAAAAGAGTGAGGCTCTTAGTCAAGCCATAATTAACACAGTGAAATGCGAGAAACTGAAACAAAGAATTTATGGGTGAGCACGGGTAAAAACTTGGGGCTGTCTCTTCTGTCTCCCATTATTGTGTGATTTATTCACTAAAAATGTCAATGTCTGGTCTAACTGCTGTTGTAAGCAGGTCCCTCTTTTTTGTTGCTAGGAGAAAAAAAAACGAATTAATGTTGCATCTGCTTTCTGCTTTCCTTCCCCCTTTATCATCTCATGACCCTTCATGATGGACCTTGTGACCCCTCGGTCAGCATGTCCACCGCTGTTGTATAAAATGACTAAAAACTAGTTATACAATGTGACTACAGTAGTATTGTAGATTTTAGAGTGGTATTAGACAGTAGATTTTCTCAACTCTAACTATTGTCTGAGTTAATGTATTTTTCACACAGTCTTCAGTGTCAGGAGACATTGTAGTGGACCAACAGTGTGGATTTGTGCATTTTATATTAAATAATTTGGAGACTCAACTCCTCTTTTCTCTCCCAGAGAGAAGGAGGAGGGGGTTTGATTATCAACCCTCTACAGACGGCTGAAGAGACCCCAAAAGAGAGGGGGGGTTGAAAGGTCACTTTCCCTAAGTGCTATTCCTAAGCAGCCTGATCGTAAAACTGGCACCTTTGATTCCGCAGCCTGATAACGCGGTGCCTGACTGTTAAACTGACAAAAGGGACATTAACCAGCTATTAGCGTTTTCCTAAACAGCCTATCAGAACTCTTCATGTGTGGGGCAGGAAACCCTAAACTGACCCACACATGTAACCATGGCAACTGACCTTGCTCTGTGTTTAATTACCTCTCATCGAAGGGATATTCCTGGTCACACCCAGGTGTGACAAAATCCAGGACACCAAGGACAGCCCTGAATTTTATGTAAACAAAGACTGCAGTCTCCAAAGACTCAAAGCATTGCCTATTTAATTAAATAATCTTTTAGTTACTTGATTACGTTTGCCTCTATTTGAGTAGTTATGTTACCATGTTGTTGCTATCTGTTGTTGATATTATTGCTGAAAAGAATATAAATAAGTTACTTTTGCAGTGTTTTAATTTTCAGCAAGGTTAAGAACACTCCTTCATTTTATGTGTAACCAATGCTTGTTCACAATACTTTCTCACACAATTCCTTTAGAAATGATGATAAAGAAATGTCATACTATACTCTATTAATTGCCAGCTTGAATTTAAGGCTAAAAAACAAAATTTTCCAGCTCCTGAGAAGATTGTTTTAGGATTAATCTAAGCTGTCGTCATGTAACCTGAGCTCCCCCAGGTGGACGAAATAAGTATTACATGCCATCGTCCTGAGATGCTAACCTTTTAAGGTCTAATTACTGACAATTGTTTTCCTGTTACCAAATGCTTATACAAAATATTTGATTATAATACGCGCAAATAGATTATATTTTCCTTATTATAGACATATTGAAAGTTTAGAAAGACAGTCCCTCGGGAAACCGGAAACGGCCCGCCCAGCGGCAAACGAAGGACTGCCCTCTGGGGAACCACACCCCAGACAACAAAAGAGTGACACACGACGTCGTTCGCTCTCTTCCTCTTGCTCTCTGCTACCCTCCTCTGCCGGCTTGTTCTGGGCTCTTCAACGGCGCTTCGGCACGCGCCCGACGTGCCCTCTCCCGGCAACGCCCTAAGAATTCGACCAGCGCAACAAAATCTTTGTTTCGCTTGAAGCTACACACGCAAAGTGCTGCAACTTCAGTTTCCCTCAGTTTCCCTCAGTTCCAGCTACTTTACTTGTTATATTTTCTTTCTTTTGTTTTGTTAAAAGTTATCAGTCCGTTAAGTTACACTAGTTAATTCAAGAACGACCAAGTTCCCTTTTTAAGCTTTTCGTCGAGCTAACTTCACCGAGGTCAGACCAAGCCACGTGGTTTCGCCAGCGACAACAAAGGACACCTGAAGAACAGCCGAATTGCCAGACGGAGGACGGCCAACCCTTGAGGGTTTTTCTTCAATCAGACACGGAGAACCCCGGAGAATTCCCTAGCAAAAAGCCAGGAATCGGACAGCTAGCGTAGGACCCGTGCAACAGGCCAAGGCAGGCCGCCGACCTACCGTAAGACCAAAACAAAACATTCTGTGGTCAGGGATGTCCCATAGTGTTAATATTGTCTTTTTAACTCCTAAACTCATAGCTTACTTTAATTAGTTCTCCTCCGCCGTATGAGTCAAGTCCTCCCACAATCGAACCTCCATTCTCATTGTTTAGCTATTGTTTATTTCTCTGATGTATTTAACCACCTTTTTATATCACCTTAGTTAGTTAATAAATTCACTGTAACCAAGGAAGTGTGTGTATTGCCTACTTCTAAGTCCCTGCCAAGAGAATTTACCCTTTAGATATGAGACTGACTGATTGATTTAAGATAATTGAGCGATTATTAACTAACTGATCACTGGTGAATAATTGTATAATTATTCAATTATTCTATAGTTAATAACAACTCCAGTGGTGCCCCAGCGAAACGAGAGCTTTTTATGAATTAAAATTTTCCGAATATTAAAATTCATAATTGGGTATTAATTCTCATAAATATATTTAAATTCATACATAGTTTAGACCTGCTACAACATAAAGGCTGTGGGTTGAAATGCCAGCACGAGTTATTTACATTTGAGGCTGTCCTTGGTTATCTGTTGCTTGCATTTCTCCTAGACTTCCCCCTCTAGCAGTTTATATAGGCTTGTCTAGTCACACCTGCAGAGCACACTTGGTGACCCTCAACTTTTTGTTCAGCAAATTTTTGACTAATATACTTGATCGTGGATTTGGTCTTGTTTTTTCTTGGCTTATTAGTTCATTAATTTTATAATTTCATTATCTCAATATTTTGTTCTCTTTTTTTTGTCTTTTGTTTTACCTCATTTAGTTTTAATTTCTATGTATTTATTGTCATTTGTACCCCTTTATATGTATTTAATGACATGTACACCATACGTCTAATTATACTTATATTTGTATGAACTCTTATGTGAAGCTAATGTGCTGTATGGGGTATGACTAGTACTTTTATCTGCTAATGTCTGTCTCTCTTGTACACATTTCTCAGAAAATAAATCTGAGGATTTATCTGGTGACATTTTAGGGCATCATATATGCAGAGGTATACCTGCACAGTGAAATATGGACTTTAGAGTTTGCCTGGAATCCCTGTTCTGAGTCAAAGGAGGCTTTGACTGTGCTCTCAACGTAATTAAAGTGCCCTGGTGGAAAGGATTGTTCAAGTGCAGTGCAAGTAAAATGTCTTGGGGTGAAGCCCTTTGAGGTGACTGTGTCCTGTCTGAAGAGTTTTATTCTATATTTAGCAGATGTTTAGTATATTGGTGGAGAGTAATGTCTTTACGGTTGGTAGCTGTAACACAGAAAGATGTCTACACTTGATAGTAGTGATCTTATTTACTGTTATGCTTTCACAGTATAGAGTGAATGGCATTAATTAACAACCACTCAAGCAGAGAGGGCAAAGTAATCAGTTAATCGGGCAACACTAACAGCATCATTATGCACTTGCATTCGCTGTTCAAGGGTGTGAGATCTCTCATGACTATATTTCCAGCTGGCCTTATACTGAACCTTTCTGACCAGTGGTTAATAACAGCTAAATATTCACAG